ACCACAGAAACTGTGAGATAATAAATGTGCATTGTTTTAAGTCACTCAGTTGGTGGTAATTTGTTACACAGCAATAAAAAACTAACACAGATTGTAATGCCTCCTTGGTTACTATTGTGTAATGTCCCTCTTCATTCCTGGTAATTTTCTTTGCTGAGAAGTTTAACCTGTCTGATATTAATAAAGCCATTCCAGCTCTCTGTTATTAATGTTTACATTTCCTTACTTTAAGTCAAATTATGTCAGGATATTTGAAGTAAGCTACTTGCAGTCACTCATTTTGGGGGCTTCTTTTTTATTTATTATTACAATTTCTCTTTTAATTGATTTGCTTAGACCATTTACATTACTGTAGTTATTGATATATTTGGATTTAGGTCTACCATTTTATTATTTGTTTTCTGTTTGTTCCATGTTTATTGTTCCCCCATTTCCCCTTTCCTTCCTCTTTTTGGGTTTCTTTGAACATTTTTTAGTATTCCATTTATGTATTGTGTTTTTTCTTTAATCACTTTGTATGTTTTAGGGAATACAGTATACATACTTTGGTTTTTACAGTCTTCCTAGAGTCAATATTTTACCAATTCAAGGGCAATATGGAAACCATACTAACATATAGGTCCCTTTATCTTCTTCCATTTATGCTGTGACTGTTTGTGCATTATATTTAAATACATTGAAAATCCCATTAGACCATGTTTTAATTTTGTTTTTAAAGAGCATATTTTAAAGAAGTGGTGAAAAGAAGAACTTCTGTTAGCCATCCTTTTTTTTCCTTTAAGCAACTGCTATTATCTTTATTTTATAGATGAAGAAACTGAGGCACAGAGAAGTTATGTAACTTACCCAAGGTCACGTAGTTAGTAAGGGGCAAACTCAGAATTTGAACCCAGACAGTGTGACTCCAGCATAGCTTTTTTTTAAAATTAAGGTATCATTGATATATAATCTTATGCTCAGGTTTCACATCAGCAACGTTGTGGTTACTACAATCCCTCCATTATCAATTCCCCACCACATACCCCATTACAGTCACTGTCCATCAGCCTAGTAAGATGCTATACAGTCACTACTTGTCTTCTCTGTGCTATACTTCCTTCCCTGTGCCCCACCCATATTATGTGTACTAATCATAATACGTCTTCATACCCTTATCCCTCCCACCCTCCACAACCCCTTTCCCTTTGGTGACTGCTAGTCCATTCTTGGGTTCTGTGATTCTGCTGCTGTTTTGTTACTTCAGTTTTTGCTTTGTTGTTATACTCCACAGATGAGTGAAATATTAGCCATCTTTTTATAGCAAGTCTGCTGGCAATGAATTCTCTGTTTTCCTTCTTTGCAGAATGTCTTTATTTCACTGTCATTCTTGAAGGCTATTTTTGCTGGATATATTATTTTGCATTGATGTTTGTTTCAGCACTTTAAAAATGTGCACTTCTTGAGAGCGTGTTTAGAGGTTCTAGCAGGGGAGTACAGCTACTTGTGCGCCCTTGACTGAAGAATGGTCCTCCTCTATTGGAGAAAGCCATCCTCTTCACTAGTACACAGATCCCAGAGGGATGCACATGGAGTAGTAAAGGGGGAAGGGGACACCTGCCTAGACAGCCCAATCAGCCAAAATCAATCCTGGTGATCAATGGGGTGACATATGTCACAGCTAGATCTACTGCACACTCCTTTATGACCTCCTTGGTTTCTGATGAGAGATCCATAGTCATCTGGCTATTACCCTAAATGTGTCATTTTTTTCTCTTTCTGCCTTAAACATTTTTTCTTTATTTACAACAATTTGAATATAATGTGTCTGAGCATTGATTTATAGTTTGCTGAGGGTTCTTGGACCTGCAGGTTTATGTATTGCAAAATTTGCAATATTTTCAGTTATTATACCATCATGTATTTTTTTTCTGTATCCCACTATTTCTCCTGTCCTGGAACTCCAAGGACATGAATGTTAGAGCTTTTGTTATTATCCTATGGGTCCTGTGGCTATGTTTGTTTATTTCCCAACTTTTCCTCTCTGTTGTTAAAATGGGATAATTTCTATTGATATATTTTCAAATTTACTGACACTTTCATCTTCATTCTGCTATGGAGCCCATTTAGTTATCTTTAAAATTTCAGTTATTACATATTTTGGTTACAACATTTCAATTTGGTTCTTCTTTTACCTTTTAGTTTTTTGCTGAGACTTTCTATATTTCCATTCATTTCAAGATGTTTTGCTCTTGTTGAAGCATTTATATATAGCTGTTTTTAACGTTGGAATTTTAGATAATTCCAGCATCTGTGTCATGTGTCATTTCAGCATTGGTGTATATTGATTGCCTTTTTTATAGGCAATCAATATTTAAGATTTTCATGGTTCTTCATGTGCTGAATAATTTTGGGTTGTATCCTGGGCACTTTATAATGTAATGGGGCCTTGTATCATATCTTGTTTTAATTTTATGGAGGGATATTCATATTTTTGTTTTAGCTTGTAGTTGACATGGTTTGGTCCAGATCACAAGTTCTGATGTGCTCCAAAGGTCAATTCAGTTTTCAAAACTTTTGCAGTGTTATTTAGATCTGTCCCACATGTGTTTTATCCAGTGGCTAGTCTAGGATCTGGGCGGTGATCTGTTTCTTACTTCAGTTATCACAGCTTTCAAGTATCTAATACAGTATTGTTATCTATAATCACAATGCTGTGCATTAGATCCCCAGAACTTACTCATCCTGTGACTGGAAGTTTGTGCTGTTTGACCAACATCTCATTTCCCCCACCCCCCAGGCCCTGATAGCCACCATTCTATTCTCTGTTTCTGTGAGTTTGACGTTTTTAGATTCCACATATAAATGAGGTCATGCAGTATTTGTTTTTCTCTGTCTGACTTACTCAGTTAGCATAATGACCTTAAGGCCCATCTCTGCTGTCACAAATGGCAGGATTTCCCTCTTTCTCATAGCTTAATATTCTACTGTATGTATGTATGTATGTAAATACATATATACACACGAATCCATTATATATATCCATATATATATCTAGAAAAAAATTTATCCATTCATATGTTGATGAACACTCAGGTTATTTCAGTATATTGGATATTGTGAACAATGCTACAATAAACATGGAAATGTAGATTGATTTTAAGGTCCTGTTTTCATTTCATTTGGATATATATAGAAACAGTGGGATTGCTGGGTCATATGGTAGTTACATTTGAAATTTTTTTGAGGAAGCTCTATACTGTTCTCCATAGTGGCTTCACGAATTTACATTTCCACCAAGGGTTCCCTTTTCTTCAGACACTCGTCAGCATTTGTTATCTCTTGTCTTTTTGATGACAGCCTAACAGGTGTGATGTAATCTCTCATTGTGGTGTAGATTTCTCACTTGGAGACTCAGGGCTTCAAAGTGAATGGGGAGCAAGAGCATGAAAGTGGGCCAGGTAGGGACTAGAATACCTCTTATGATTTAGTTTAGGGACTAGAATGCCTCTTATGACTTAGTTTCTCAAGTTGTGCAGTCTCTATTGCCACATCTTATTCTGTGAGGCAGTAGCAAGGGTTTACCTATGTTCAAGGGAGAGGGAACATACCTGTCACCTTTTGATGGGGGAGTGGCAAGGTTCTGGAAGAGTGGGATTGGGAATATGATTGCAGGCATTTTTTGAAAATGCAATTTGCCACTAGTATTAAGAAGTCTGTAATTTTAAGGTAGCTCCTGAGTTGTCTTACATGTGGGCTATGGAGACAAGTTCTATCCTGGACTTTTAGGAACCCAAGAGGGTGTAATATTAAATATTATGGTCAATATGGCCAGTTTTCAGCAAACATGGGTTTTAGTGAGTCTCCAGAAATTAGATCAATTTCCTGTTGTTGTATAACTTCTCTGTGACCAGCCAGGTTCTTAGTGTTTGCAGTTTCATTGCGAACCTGAATGGAACTTCAAGGTATATGGATTTTTGCAGGAGCTGGATGATGATCTGGAGGAATAGGGAGAGATGCTAGCTAAAATGTAAATGAAGAGATTCCCCTGCTGTAAAGAAGCTACTAAGCAGCTTGGCAGAGTGTTCACCTAAATGGAAACCAAATGGAAGGCTGCAGTGCTCCAGATATCTTTTCCTACCTAATGCCATCTCTGCCTTATGATTATTACTCCTTTTAGTTATGTATTGCTTTCTTCAAAAAAATCCTCTTAAAAGTGCAAACTCCTCTGGGAGAGAAAACTGGGCAGTTGATATGGATTTCAGAGTGGCTCAATAAACACTACTGAGCACAGTACTAGGCACAGAGAGTTCAGTGATTAATCATTCGATCTCTTTCTTCCTTGATCAGAGGAACAAGGTGGATTGAAAATTCTAGTTGCTGAAGATTTGCTCCAAGAGGCTTTATCCTCCAGAGTCTACTTAAAAATATTTTCCCAGAGCTGAGCCTGGTTCTATGAATCATCCAAAGACTCCCTGAGCTACCAGGTCAACATAAAAGCGCCACTAGGGTAATCTCCCCCTACTCCCAGGATCATCTGGGGCTCACCTACCTGGAATGGCAAGTGTTCAGTTCCTGTGGTTCAACCTTCTTTCCCAAGAGGGTCACACAGTCCAAAATAAGAAGTTAGTCTATTCCCCAAGTCCAATCCCTTACCAGTCCTTACTTTGGGATAGACTACAGCAGAGGTTTGGCAGATTCTGGGGGAGCCTCGAGAACTGGAAGGCGCTGTGAGAGATGTGGAAAGAGAGGTGTAGGGGTTAACGTGGCTTCGTGGCCTCCCGCCTTACTGGGCCCAGGGCGGCGTAACATCGGCCTGAGATCGAACACTTCGCGGTAGCCCCAGAGACAGGGCTGGAGACCGCACTACATGAATCCAGGCCGATGTTCCCGCCGGGGACAGGCGACCTCTGGCGGCGCATCTGGGAAGCGCGGCGGCGACTGCCCAGAAACTGGTCACGCGACCCCAGATGGCCTGGCCAGGTGCGCCAGGTCGCTGTGAGGAGCGCAGGGAGGGGAGGGTCCAACGGCTGCGCGCAGGGGTCAAGGGGCGAGCGGATACCAGCTTCGGCGCCGGGCGCAACGCGGCGGGGGCCGGACAGGTGTGCGGAAGGGGGGCGGTGCTTGGGGATCCTGCGCACTGCGCGCACCCCTCCCCCACGCGCGGCTCCCGGCGCGGCCCCGGCCCGGCGCGAGCGCGACTGAGCGGCGGCGGCCGCAGCCCCTCGGACTGGTAGGCGACGCCGCGAGAACCTGCAGACTGCGCGGGCTGTTGGTCCCCTCAGGCAGGAGGCGCGGGCAGCCGCGGGGCCATGGAGCCTGGTGACGCGGCGAGGGTTGGCCCGCAGTGGGCGGCCCGGGTGCTGCCACAGCGGCTGCTGCTGTTGCTGCAGTTGCTGCCGCTGCTGCTGAGTCGGGGGCTGCATGTCGCGGCCGCGGCCTCCTCCTCAGGGGCGGTGGCCGAGGACAGCAGCGCCATGGAGGAGCTCGCCACTGAGAAGGAGGCTGAGGAGAGCCACCGTCAAGACAGCGTGAGCCTGCTCACATTCATCCTGCTGCTCACGCTCACCATCCTCACCATCTGGCTCTTCAAGCACCGCCGGGTGCGCTTCCTGCATGAGACCGGGCTGGCCATGATCTACGGTGAGCACCCCTACCGCGCCCACCACCCCCGAAACCCCCGACGCCGCGCCGGGCTTCCCTTTCACTTGCCAACGTGTTTCGTTTCCTTTCCGTTTCCCCCTGCGACGGTGTTGGTTCCCAAGGTCAACTGTCTACATTTTCTGCCTATTATCATTAAAAATAATTCCACGCCATTTCCATCTTTCTTCATCGGGGAACCGAAAAAAATGAAAGGCACGGAAGTGGCCGGTTGTGTCTCCCGGTTCTGTCTCGGTTTCGTCTCGCATCGTCCCGGCCCCCGCCCCATTTTAGCTCAACAGGGTGTGTGTGCCATGGCGGGATGTGGTGCTCTCTCGGGACAGCGCCACCCCAAGGGGCAGGCCACAGTGAGGGTTTCTCGGCTGGGGTACGGGCTGACCGCGCCTCGTGGATGCCACATCCATGTCCAACACGGGTGGTCGCCCACTTCTGACAATTGTGTTCCGGGGTCTCTTGTTAATAAAGTGGGAGCATAAAGCGCTGTGAAAAGGTGAGGTGGTCCAGGGCCCAGAGTGGTACACCAGCCTGTCAGGCCTAGCTGGGGAGGTGCTCTCGCTTCCCACCCTTATGGCCGGGTGGTAAGGTATACTCAGTTCTGTGCCTTCTCCAAGTGAAGAGTGTTTGTATTCCTCAGATTGTGACAGGGATGCGACTTTGAAGACACGTTTATGAGTGTATGAAGAGGTAAAGTGGTGGTTTTAATTTGAAGTGAGCCGCCTTTTGTTGTGAAGAGTGGGCTGATGCCATCATCTTTTTCTGGATTTAATGGCATAGGCTGTGTTACCTGCACAGCAGTAGGCACAAATCTTAAGGTTATATTACATGGATGTCAGTTAGTCATAACCTGATCATCCTCCCCCCCCCCACTCCTGATTCCTCTGCCCACCATGACTCCAAAATGGAACCAAGTATTCTTGTTTTGAATTAAATTCGGTGGAGTTAAGACCCAGGTTGGCACCCTCATGTGAATTACATGAGCCGACTTCATGGCTATTCCCAATAGGGAACATTTTACTTCGTCACTTATGCTGGAGAGATCTCTTCACTCAATTTCCATTCAGAGTTCCCTGATAGAGAATGGAAAGCAGACACCTTAATTTTTAATGTGGAAATTACCCTTGCCCCTCTGCCTTGCTGCTCAGGGTTCCTGATTGGTTGTTGACAGCTCTGGGCTCATGGCCGCTGAGGTAATGAAGTACCTTTGAGAGCCCTCTAGTTTTAAAGCGGTAGTGGTCAAAACAGATCTTAAATTGAAACAGGACCAGGTCTAAAACTGAGTTTGGTTATTGCAAATTACAGATGTGAACACAAACTTTGGCCTCGATTACCTAGCCATTCTTGAGCTCTGTTGTTTGTGTCAGTCGGTGACAAATGACTTAAGACCAGGGCTGTAGGTAAGATAGGAGGTTTCTTGAGCAGATAGAGCGGGGAATGAAGCATGTTGTCATTTCTGGCAATTGTCTCCAAGCCATAATGCAAATGAAGATTGCCTTTATATGTATTTAGATAGCCATGAAAATATTTTTATTTTATAGCCCCTAGATCCAATTCATTGAAGTACCATGTGAAATACTTTTAGAAGGTAGATTTGACAGGCTCATAAGTACATGCTCAAGTGCATGGAAAATAAATGGAGATTTAAAAAAGTATTTTCTGAGGAGTACTCCATGTTCTTAGGAGTTTAGTCACATTTTTCTTAAGGCTTAAAAACAACAGTGGAATTTTCCTTTGCTGCAATGTACTTTTTAAACTCATCTTAATCTAGTAGTCACTGGGGCCATACTACAGTGTGCTGTTTCATTTTGTGTTCCCAAAATGTGGTTTAATTGATGATTGTTCAGAAAAGGCAACATCATCTTATACTGTCCTGTGTAATTTTGTTCTTTGCCTTTGGGTTTTAGTGTACTTTGAAATATACCAATTAATTTAGTTTGTCAATATGTGATGTTCTAGGTTATGCCAAATTTTGATATTTCAGTGTGGATTGCGTGTAATTGTGAAAAACCACTTCTCTCTTTCTCTTGGGGATATTCAGTCTTCTTTTTCAAGCCCCTCACCAAATCTGAAGTCTAATATTAGTCATTTGATTAGTTAATTATTCATTATATCCTGAAGACTATTGGGATGGGGATTCTGATTTAAAAAAATCAGTATGAAAATCTTTGAACCCTTCGGTGAGTGCAGTACAGATTTTCAGGACTTCTCTTTGTTAACAGTAAGAAATCTGATTTCATTTCTTGATATCAGTAGAGGAAGTGAGTAATTATCCTGTTGCCTCTGAGTAATAAAGAAAAAAAAGACCTAAGGAAACATTTGTTAAGCATCTGCTGTGTGCTGGGTACCTAACATGATTTCTGGGGGTAAATGTTTTAACTTTTAAGTGCTGGTAAATTTTTATGAGTGACAGTTCAACTGTGAATTTCAAAACTCTCTACTTTGAAATTAAAAGAAAATATAATCTCTACCCCTTTAAAAATATTTAAGTAATACTTTAATCTGAATGGGATATTTAATATTAAAATATTTAAAATAGTGATATATATTATTGATATATAGTAATATATTAAAACAAATTGTGATACATATATATTTGCATACATATACACATACACATATATATATATTTGCTGGTATAAACATAAATATCTCTGGAAGGACATGCAATAGATTAGTACCTTTGGTTCCCTTGTGGGGGAAGAACTGGGTGCCTGTGATGTAGGGGTGGGAGGTAGACCACTTTATACCCTTTCATGCTTTTCAATTTTGCTCTGTGAAAGTGGAATCTCCTAACAGTGAGTCCATTTCTCCATTCTGTGGCATTCACAATGGCATTTTAAGATGCTCCTCAAATCATCCACTTCAATGCCCACTTATACTTATTTAAATCACATTATGGTATCAATTTATGTAACCTTTCAGTTGGTTGAATGTACCCATGGAACTTCTGGAGCCCTGTGCCTGGAATGGAGACAAAAACGGAGAAAGAAAAGAGATTTTCCTTTCTTCCCCTTTCTCCTTTTTATCCTATTATCCCCAAGAAGAGTTGGTGTTGAATTAGGAGTGGTACACACAAATAGATCCCATAATAAGGCTTGTTTGGCTGCAAAGGACCAAAGGGCAGTAAGAGACACACTGTGAATGCTGAGCGTTTGAATGGAGAAGGACTTCCCCTCCCATCAAGGGACAGTTATAAGCACTCCTCTCTGACAACAGGCCCAGGCACCTAAAAGGGCAGGTGGCCCCAGACCAGACTCCTCCAGGAAGTTGAAAGCAGCCCTGCAAGCCCCCCTGACCCCTGTGTTGGGAGCTTCACGGCAGTGGGCAAGACACCTACTTGGCACCAGTGGCACCTGTTAGGTCAGGGCCGGGAGCTCCCAGCTGTCTGGCTCTGTTCATGATTAAGTGAATCCTAAAGTTACCAGGCCCAGCATGTCTGGGCAGCAGAAATAGCAAGTGTTCGAGGCCAGGAAAGGCGATGTAAACAGACTGTGTCACCTAATTGTGGTTCTCTCTCCTGTGTGCAGTAGTTCCACTTCTCCCATAATGTTTTTGTGACAACTGATAACGGTCCAAAACACCTAACTAGGCTATGCTAGCCTACCCACCTGTTTCTTGCTCCCCCTGCCTCCACACCTGTCAACTTTCCAAGTGCGCATCCAGGCTCTGTGGCGAGGGGCTCATTGTTGTTTTGTTGGAGCTGACTGCTAAGCACAGCCTGAGGGTGAGCTCATAGGCAAAGTCTGCAGGGGGAAAATATGACTCTGTGCAGTAACATGAAATTAACATTTTGGAACCACTGTCATCTGGTCAATTGGGAGCCCTTGTGTTTTTAAGAGCCCCTCACTTTGGCCCCAGTTTGGGGCAGCTCCATATGGTCTCACTTGGGGACCAGATCCTCTGGGTTCAAATGCTGACCCTGTTACTTTGAAAGCTGTATAATATTGGGTAAGCTCTCTGAACCTTAGTTTCTGCTTTTCAAAAATGGAGACAGTGTCACTGACCTTACAGGGTTATTGTATTATCAAGATACTGTAAGTCAGTCAAGAGCAGTGCCTGGTACTTGAACACTTGGTAAAATATTAGTTCTCATTCTCCCTTCAGATTCTGCGATTTTTTGGCCAGCTTTGCTACTTGAGGTTGGTTCAGTAAAGGCCTGCTGTAATTTTGCAATGCGTTAAGATACAGTTAGTAGGACTGAAGAGAATTGTAATTTTTTTGGTGGTCTATTTGTTAATACCTAGAAGAAATTTATATCATGCCTAACCTACTGTTTTATCCAGCACTCTCAATTCTTGGACTTATCCTTCAGAAATACTCTCACTAGCACATTATGTTACACAGCAATATTTGTTGCAGCAGAAACAAGTTTCAGTACTCATCAAGAAGGGACTGGTTAAATTACAGCACATTCCCACTAAGGAACAATAGGCAGCCAGTAAAAAGAGGTGTTTTGAGATGTCTTTTTAGGGGAGTTGTCCACACATACTGTTGTGGAAAAAACAAGGCATAGAACAGTACGTATAACATTATCTCATTTATTCTTTGTATATGTATATATACATAATGTAATATATACATTATATATATAATGTATATATATAACAGGCACTGTGTTAAATGTACATATTAAATTATGTAATATATATGTAGAAACATGGTGTGTATATACTTCTGTATGGCATGTGTGCTCCTCTGGAAGGATACACAAACTTACCAATGGTTATCCTTTGGGAGTGGGACCAGTTGTTGGGCGAGAGGGAGGGGAGATGTTACTTTTCCTTTTATACTCTTCAGAATGGCCTGAAATTTCTGTAACATTGACACATTACCTTCACAGTTGAAACTCTATTTAAAAAGAATGCAAAAAACTTTTCTGTAGCAAAATACGCATTAGAAATAGGAGGCTGTAGTTAATTGTAGTTATGTGTTTAGGTAGCATTTCCCTTGGATGTTAAGATGCTCTTTTAAAAAATCTCTGGGCC